AGTGTGGCAACCAGTCTACTCATGCCGCGGGCGACCGTACATGTACATGACCTCACGCATCGAAATAAAAATCGATGTTGCAAGATTTCTTCAAATTAATTCACAGAACTGTGTACATGTATCTCGTCTGTGTGTGTATTTCCCGTGTTCATGAGTTTAATTTTAAGTTGTTTTGCTCGTACTTGAAGTGAGCATGTTTCCACAAAATTTTCCTACACGCCAAGGTTTATTTGATCGCCGGGGAACAGCTGTCTTGATACATCACTTACAATTACCAGAACGATGTGTACAGAACTTGGTTCAACCATATACATTAATTCACCATGGACAACGCATTCGACATTAATTAAGTGAACGCCGTAGAGTTTTCCATGTACATGTCGTTTGTGGAACTCCTCTCGACCAATTGTTTTGGAAGAGGCTTGGAAAACACTCGAGCACGGCTGTGCAAATGGAAATTGGGCGAAAGGTCATTATTATATCTAACTCTCTGGGTGCATATTCCACCAAATGATTGTATTTCTGCGCGCGAGCTCATGAATATTTTGTGAACCCACGGGGTTTTTACAATAAGACATGCCACAATCAGGAGGCATCATAGAAATATTTCTATAAATCCCGAATTTGGGACTGATAATTTCCAGATAATTTTCTATCAACTTTCTTTCCCCCAAATCGCGAGCCCATTTTGAATAGAGGCGGGCGGCTACATTCAGAAATGAGCGCTTAGTTTCTTCCTTGAAAGGCGAATAAAAAAAATATATTTTCGTGATTAACCCCCATGACGTTGAAACGAAAAGTGATCTTCTTGCCATAATCTTGAATTTCCAATAAACCCCCCCCCCAAAAAAAACGGAGACCAACCTCTTCACGAGAGTCAACGGGCGGCGCTTTTCCGGTCCTATTTTGCACTGGGCGCGTTTAGGGGTGCAGTCCACTAATTCAAGCAATAATTTCCGCCAGGCTCATTAGCATTAAAAGTGCTCCCCCAGAGTATCTTTCGAAAAAGGGGATTGTTTGGCCCCCAAAATGGTGAGATTGTGTAAATCTTTGCCAGGATCGAGTCCCTGGTTCTTTGGGCTTCCATCTGAGAGCGGAAGAGATAAAAAAATACAGTTTACAAATGTTCCCAAAGGACCGAGAAAGTAGAGGGTTGCCATTTGAAAAATGGCTGCGTGCTGACTTGGGTACTTCGACTTTTGGGGGGTTGGTTTTGTTTTGGGTGAATAATTAAAAATGTAATAGGTTAACTTGACCCCCCGAAAATTGAAAAGAAACTGAAAGATTAATGACCGAATAATAATTATATTTTTGTGTGAGACACCTCAGGGATGTTGGCTTGCATGTTATTGAGCTCTGAAGAATGGTGATTTTACACTGTTTTCAATGGGGCTTGAATTAGTGGACTGTACCCTTAGTGTAGTGAAACCTGTAAAGACAAGATGGCAGCGCACACAGCAACAGACAAAAAGGGGGCGCCCTATCCTTTTAGTGCTTTTTTATTTACGGGCGGAGAAATGAGCATTTTTATCTTTGGAAGTTTTCAAAACAGTAACGATAATTGCCAAAGACCAGAGGAATGTACACCGCGTATTTGGTGTTGTGCAACCCTATGGGCCAAGTGGAAATGGGGCGATGTGGAGATGGGGCGATGTGGTTATGGCCGAAGTGGTTAAGGGCGACGTGGAAATGGGGTGAAGTGACTGTAAAGCGTCTGTAGTACGTGTCAAATGGAACCTGAAGTTAAGGGTATGAGGAAAACCGGGCCGGTGGAAGGGGGGCGGAGGAAAAAGGGGGGGGGAGCAGGCACGCAGGTTCACGAGTAGGCGTATGTACAACCAGAGTTCAGCTCTCTTCCCTCCATTGGGTTTATAGTATGCAAAAGTCAGGCCCGAGACTATACCCAGCAAGAAATGAAACCGAGGGGTACCTCCCCCAACATGTCCAATCTCTATACACATTCCAGACTATTGTTACTTAACACATCCTCCCAAGATGTCTGAAAGGAATTCCCCAGATTCCTGCGAGACAATGCCATACACAAAGCAGGGGAGGTTCTCTCCGTCTCATACCTTGCTGCATATGCCTGAGACAGGGGCTGCCTGCTGGCAGGCGCGGTCTTGTAAAATGATTTGTTTCACAGTATTCATTTAAAAATAAACATGGCTACACAATAAATATGAATCTGCCATAAATGATTCGTGCCACAACATACATGTACATTTAATTGAATAGGCATGAAGGCAGCACTGGGTACACGGGTCAGGGACGAAAGCAGTCAGGTCAACCCCGCGCGCCGGCTGACCGACGATCGCACGCACACACACAAATCCTCCCGGGGATCCAACGCGGCCGCCATGCCTACTATACTTGAAGCGAGCAGTCCAAGATTCCAAAGTAACTACCCTTAATCCCAAACATGTAAAGGTGATACAGTTAAATTACCATTGACACACAGGAAATCCAAATCTAATCCCACAATCCAATAAATGTAGTAAGTTTTGCACATCAACCCAGGTGACGTTTTACACAACCACAACGCACGTACATGACTCTATTGTAAGAAGTCAACGTTAAATTAAAGCTCCGGCACTACTTTTCTTTGAACTTCACCTAAATTCCACATTTTCAACCCAACAAAAGCCGTACCCATCCTTATTAAACCTGTCTATGATAAACTGCGGTAAAGGTAGTAGGCCCTCCGACCCCAAAAGTTTCCACAAAATAATGAAATTTCGGCTACAAAATGGGAGTAAAAGGAACGACATGATTACCTGCAAAAAGTCGGGCAGGCGGTGCCAAAATCCGCGTTTTGGGGCGACATTTATGTGCCTGTGTAGTACAGTCTGACCCCTCAGTAAAACTAAAAGTTGATACTAGGCCGCCAAACCTCGGAAATTTAAAACAGAAAGAACATCGATAAAAAAATTAAACAAATGTTTTTTACATTTCAAGGTCCTTGACCGACATTTTCCATTATTAGAGCTTATACTGAACTACACCTACTAAATTAAATATCATTGCGCAATGTTTTCCGGACAACCAGTTATGAACAGAAACTAAGGTCGACAAGGGAAGACGTGAAACAGATTAAAACGGTATCATCGGATCCCCTACAGGAGCAGTGTCCCAATTCAAGGAAAATTCTCCGCCAGCCCGAGGCGCACAAAAAAGTATCTCTAGGAGATTGTTTCGAAAAGAGGGGTCTCTTTGGGTCAAGAAATAGTGGAATGGTGTCAGTATGGCCCAGAATCATCTCTGTAGATTTAGGGGCACCCATCTGGGGCAAAGCAGACAAAAATGGGATTGAAAATTAGTCAGAAGAGCCCGAGAAGGTGAGGGATGTCATTTGAAAAATGGCCGCTGGGAAGCCTTGGCAACATTCACTTTTTTGGGGGGTGAGTTTGTTTTGGGCGGATAATTAAAAAATTCATTGGTAAACCTACTAAAAATTGAAAATCAAATGAAATATGAACGACCAAACAACACATTGTTTT